GAGAGAGAGAGAGAGAGAGAGAGAGAGAGAGAGAGAGAGAGAGAGAGAGAGAGAGAGAGAGAGAGAGAGAGGGGGGGGAGAGAGAGAAACAGACAGAAAGAGACAGACAGACAGACAGACAGACAGAAAGACAGCCAGAGACAAAGACAGAGACAGGGACAGATAGACAGAGACAGAAACAGACAGACAGACAGACAGACAGACAGACAGACAGGTACACAGACAAACAGACAGAGACATGAACAAAAAAAACCAAACTGACCCTTGACTTCTTGACCTCCTCCAGCCTGTCCCTGACCTGCAGGACCCTCTCGGCGTCGCCGCTGTGTTCCTCCAGAGACTGCTGCAGGGAGATGTGGTTGTGAGGGAAGTCCCCGTCGCGAAACTTTCTCTGGAAAACACAAACGAATAAACACAAATAAGTCAAGTCCTTCTGTGATCCACATCTAGTCCACTCAATGACGGCTACGTTAAACTATTCGTTTTAATAATAGTGAAAGATTTACGGCACTTGCAAAAGAAATAATAGATCTAGGTTATACAAGTGCCGAAGCTTAGGGGTGTCACTAGAGTAACATTTAAAGAAAAGGACCTACCAGCAGCACCGAAGGCGAGCAAGATCGGGACAGAAATCTCACTGGAAGAAAGTAGACGAGCAACCCACATTAGAGAACATACCCACCAACCGTATTTTAATGATAGAAGAGAGAAAATAGTAAACAACTACAGCCCAGGAAAAACATGAAAGTGTCTTTACCTTTTCGTCAGAAGGGGTTTACGAAAGAGGCATTCTGATGTGTGTGCTTTGTTTTGTTTGTTCAAATTTATTTATTTTAAAAAAAAAGGGGGGGGGGGCATTTGACCTCCTTTTTAAAAAATAAGAGAGACCCTCTGTCGTTTTAATTTTTTGGGGGGGGGGGGGGGATGAAAAACTTTTCCATCAATTTCTGTTGGTGCTTTTTTTTTGCGGGAGCTAAAGTTTGGAGAATCTATTTGTGGGTGGTTTGCGGATGCTCAAGTGTGGTTGCCAAAAACTAGTGTCCGTCTCTCTGCTCCTTTTTGTGTGTTTGTTATTCTCTTGTAACACCTCTAATCTTCGGCACCTATGACCTTATTGTGTTGTAAGTGCCATTAAACTTTTGCTACAGTAAAACTAAAATAAAGGAGAATATATTTTCTAGAGTGAAGGGTTCGTTGGGGTCAGGTCAATTAGTAAAAATAGGCTGGTAGAAATTGGGTCTGACGACAGTCAGAAAACGGGTTTTCAAAAAAGGTGAATTTGGAAACCGGAGAGGGAGAGAGAGAGAGAGAGAGAG